CCTTAATCATTTGTTTCCCTTCTCGGTACCTTTTTCCAATTTGAATATATCCTTTTTGAGATGGGGCAACCAGAACTGCATGCAGGATTCAAAGTATGGGCGTAACATGGATTTATACAGTGACATTATGATATTTTCTGTCTTATCTATCCCTTTATTAATGATTCCTAACATTGGTAGCTTTTTTTGATTGCTTTGTATCAACCTAAATGTTTTGTTTAGGCAAAAAAACAAAAAAAAGCTTTCCATTTGACTGTGTTTTATAATCTGCAATACAACAAATTCAAAATGAGAAGTTGTTGCTATAAGAAATGTTTCATTCAGAAAATGTCAAAATGGAATGTTTCACTGTTGTCGAATTCTTTCTGCCTTTTTCCTCCAAAACAAATTTCCTGCAAAACTGATCATTGATTTTGATTGAACTGGGTTTTCCCATGGAAAATCTTCACTCAGTTTTTCCAAGCAGCTCTATCAGTAACAGGTCTGTTTTCCTCGTGTACCTATTATTCCGTGCACTCACACACGGTAAAGTTATGGGACAGGAATATAGCATTTTTTTAAAAAAATCAAGCCTGTAGTGACAGCTTGATTTGGGAGTCCACCAGTCACTCATGTACCAGTTTCTGCAGTCAGGCAGCAGTTGTCTCACCCTATTGAAGTAAAAATGGTAGAGGAGGAATGGGAAAGAAAAAACATTGGAATCCTCTACTTTCTGCAAATTTATTATACACAGTATCAAACATGAAATAGTTTAAAAATAAATGCAAAATCCAACAGCTGTGACATTCAACTAGAACAGAATATTTACAGTCGCTCCATTACAGCAGCCCCTCTATCGCCACGCAACTCCTCAGGAGAACACATTGCCCCCTGCCCCACAGACACAGTGTTTGCAAAAAGAGTAAGGGGGAAGAGGTTGAGTTGGAACGTAGCAGGTATTTCTTGTCCACAAGCAGAAAGACAGGTTGTAAGTAATACAGGCTCCAAGGGATACACTGTGTATTGCCAAAAAAAATCATCCTGGGATTTTGTATTCCAGACAGACTGTAACGGACGTAAAAGCAATTTGGGATGGCTAGAAAGATACGGCCCAATCCCATACATTCAGCTGTTACATGCAACTGACCAAGGAGACTACGTAGATTAGTCTTAATAAAAAACCCAGTAAAGCCTTTTTAACTATACACATTGCACTAAGTCGTAAGAAACACATGTATTTGGAAGTCCAGCCCAGCCGTATTGTGCAGGGTGATGCAGTGCCGACAAGCACCACGGATCATTCCTTCAGATTGCATGGCAGTATTTTCTGTCACTTCTTCTTCTAAGTGAAGAATCAATATCCATTTTTGTCAGGACTCTTCTGCAATCCAAGCCAGACAGCCATCGTCACAGAACAAAGCAGGTGGCTAGCAAGTGAAGTAGTTTACTCTGCCCTCCTCCTACAAGTATGCGTGTATATTTAAATAACTAAATGGCCAATCTTTGCTAGTATCTCAGGGATGAAGATATCGATCTTTATACACACATTACCCAGCAAAGCAAGGAAGAGTATTTGACTAATTACACTGTTAGATCTCCCTCCACTTCCCAAAGGAAGAAAAGAAAAACACATTTAGATTTGTGTTATAAACAACCAACCACAAGATTACAGCACTGGGGTGCACTGGACAGCTACAGGGACCGGTTATCAATGTAGTATTCATAATATGGGAAGCAACAAGCTGGCCAGTGAAAAGTCATCACTATATACCCAGCAAGAGGATTTCGGTTCACGCTCAAAACTAAACTTTTTCACGGACGTAAGAGAGCCAAAGCAGTAACTCCAGAAAGATATAGCGCAGGTGAACCTCCTCACCATGCACAGCTCATTGTTAAGGCAGATTCATCCTCCCAACAGGATGGCTATTCTAGTCTGGATATTCATCTCTCACCACAGAATGCCAATTGAGTTGAAGTGTGTGCTTGTTTGGTAGAGGAGACAAAAAGATAGTGACACACAAAACTTCATTTGTACACAGGTGGCCTGAACAGCATTAGAACCCCGGACCACAGGTGCGGGTTGACTCATGCCATTTGATTTACTCAACCACCCCACCTCTGCTATCAATTAATTTTTAGTTGAAAAAAAGCAAAAGTTTTGGCAACATGGCCCTTTTATCCCACCAGCTGATTAGTGACTCCCAGGTTTAAACTGATAAAAGCTGAACTCAGTCATAAAAGGATAAGTCCACCAGGGCTCCTCCAAAAAACATTAAGACCGTCAGTAGTAGTTTGCCCTTCTACAGAACCTAAGAATCATCACTGGAATTGCACCAGTTGGAATGAAAAGGCCAATCTGTACATATGATTAATCTTTTCACTCACCACATCCAGGCACAGGCAGGGGGCAGAGAAGCTTTGCTTTAAAAAAAAAAAAATCTTAGCGCAGAACAAATGGGAAGGTTGGCATTTGTCCATTCCCACTTTTAAAGTCACAATTACAAAGTTGCTCTCCTGTACAGACCAAGTTCAGTCCTCTTTACACCCGAAGGAAATATTCATCCCAAACTTGTAACAAGAAAACTAGAATGAGTAGAAAAGAAGTGCAAGTTCAACTCTAATGTTGCTAGTGTGATGTTGAACTCCACTGAAGAATCCACACACATCCATGAACACACAGCTCAGCCGTAATGCAGGAGACAGCTACAATGCTGCTGGCCTCTCAAATGAGAAACGTAGGCTGGTGGATGTAAAATGTGAGTAATCCAGGGAGCCAGTAGTATGGTTCTAATGAGCACATCCACTCTACACAAGCTTGCAATTGGCAGTAAGGAAGTCAAGTAGCCTACCTGCAAATGTGGCTTTGGTCCCACATTTCTCAGCAGGTTAGTGGTACTAAACAGTGCTCCGAACCAGATCAATCTTTAGATGAGATTCTATGACTAAATTCTCCACTACAAGGAGGACAAGCATACATCTGTGAACCAGCTGAGTGGAGATCGCTGACTGTGCATTCAATATGGTTTGAAGGATAGTCTGTGCTTGAGTAAACAAATGATGCAGTATCCTTTATTGGGCATGTTTATCAACCTAATCCTCAAACTCCCCCCCCCCCCCCCCCCCCCCCCCCCCCCCCCCAACCCAAATACACCTGGCCCTCTAAAAACAAAAAATCACACACACTTTTTATACATCGGAAGTTATAACACACAAAAGTTACAGAGGACAATCATCAAGAATCCTTCCAGTCAAAGCCATAGTGTAGCATGACTTCCCTGCTGCCAGATGCCAGTCAATAAATCAGGGAAAGAAAAGGCCATTATATAAAGTATAGTTGCAAAACTAAAAAGAAAGAAGCATATCTTTTAAACAGAAAAATAAAGTCACATTAGTGGTATAAACAGACTAATGCTAGATGGTAAATGGCAGCTTTGCTTATGACCGAGGCCCATTTGTATGACCAGTCCACGATATACATCGTCAACTTCTGCTTAGTCCGATCGATTTTCAAAAGGTATATTCTGAAATGAGCTCCTCTAAAGTAATCCTAGCTACTGCAGAAGCAGATTTAGGATTTTTCCAGCAAGCCCCCAAAATTCTGCCCCAACACAGGAAACAGTCCAAGTGTTAACAACTGAATTACTGTATAAGGCACAAGAGTCATGATGCCTGGAGAAAGAGACACCAGCCAACAAGAATCCGGGAGCTTCTAAACCCTGTAGCCCCCAAGAAAAGCAAACAAAAAGCAGTACTTCGATTCAGTAGGCTTAAACCACCGCCCCCCCCAAGTGACAGACTGTACACAAGAGATTTCTTTGAACAATGCAAATAGCATACAGATTGATACATAGGCCCTCATCCTCTCTGGAGCTCCAGACCATAGTAAACAGTGTTCAAAGAATTACACGCCACTCTGCAGGGTCAGCCAGACCCACGCTCAGCACCTGGGTCTTAACATGCTTTCAGCTTGTATGGTTTGGTACTTAAGGCCCAATCTACACGACAGCTACAAGTGTTAGGGGACCAGCGGTTGTCAGTGAACCTGGTTACAACAGTTCCATTTTAGTAGTACTGGTGAATCTGCACCCTGCCCTCTAAGAGTACGTTTATCCTGCAATTAGACACCCAAGGCTGGCCCATGCCAGCTGATCGGGCTTGTGGGGCTCAGGCTAAGGGGCTGTTTAGTTGTGGTGTAGCTGTTTGGGCTACAGCCTGAGCTCTATGAACCTCCTACCTCGCAGGGTCCTAGAGCCTGGGCTCCAGCACAATTAAACAGCCCCTTAGGCTAAGCCAGCTGTGAGTTTTTCATTGCAGCGTAGACATCCCCTACCCGTGCTAAAGCCTCATGCCCTGGCTAGGCTGGGAAAATAGGTCAGAGTCTAGCCCAAGTTTTAAACAGACAGGGGAATTGGTCGATTCTTCCTCACAAACACACCCCGTCCAGCAGGGTTTTCACAATGTTTCTGATCACCATTGTAGCTTCGTTTGTAACGGAGTATGGATTCAGTGCTCTTATGAGTAACAGCATTTGAAAACATTCTCAGACTCTAAGCACCAACAGTAGTGGCCCTTACCAGCCTGCCAGTTTTACTCAAAACAGATCATCCTCCCTCAGCAGTATTTGCCGTATTCCTTTGCATGTCCCTGTGTTTGCTCAAGGAAATGTCTTGAACACTGAACAATGTACACAGATAAAATAAAGCAACTGGCAAGTCTGAAGAGCCAACCATGGATACAAATAAATAGGGCCTTTGCAGAGCAGATGTGACCACTTATGACCACTGGAATGGAACATGTGCCAAGGTTTATTTATTTTAAAAAATAAACAACTTCCCTTTCAAACTTCAATACCTTTTAAAGTTGATTAGGAGTCAGGGGAGGGGAAGAGAATAAAACCCCTTCAAACACTCCTCTGAAGTCAACATTTGATATCTGGAGTTAGTTTAAGACATCTTTGGTTTTGCCTTGTCAGTCACTAATCTTGTGATAACACCCACTACATCCAGGCTTTGTTTAAAAAAAAAGGCAATGGTTACCATTGAAATAACTGAGATTTACCCATCACATCCAATCGCTCCGAGGGATTGCTAAACAGAGAGACGGCACAAACTTCAATGCTATCCAGTACAGGAGCAATCTGCCTTGCAGGGGAGAGCAGATGCTTGCTAGGCCATTCCTAGGATCCAGCGTCCTCTACACTTCTCATTGAAATAAAGAGGGAAATATGTTCCTGCAGCTCCCATTTCTGCTAAGAGTCACACTATTCACTCCAAAAATTCTCTTCTGATCCTTTTGACAAGCTTCTAAAGTTTTATAAAAACTTTGTACAATATACATCAATACTAGAAACAATAAAAATACCACTATGCGGACATATACAAAATACCCGTTAAGGGTCACTAAATCCCAGTCACTTTGTAACAGGATAATCAGAAAGTATTAGAGGAGCTACATATTATACAAACTGAACACTGTTGGAGAAGTTCTGGATCTCTGTTTAACGTATGATTTGCCTAAGACACCAGACAATCAATTGGCTGGGAGGGTTTTCACATGCAACACAAACCCGATACACATGTATTAAACAGCAGTGGAAACATTTTGAATGTCTGGCAGCTTGAGGATGGCATTTTCAAGCCGTTAGCAGCATGGAAACTGGATGGTGAGGGAGGAGGCTTTCAGTTCAGATTAGATAACTCTGACCAGCTGAGCAAGACTATCAAAACTTTCAGTAAAATGCAACGATACCTGTTTGAGAGCATCAGAAATCTATGCTGCTTGTGTACAGTTAACATCAAAAACAAAATGCAATAGTTTGATTGAAAGGACACTCAAGAATTTTTGTTTAAGTACTGTTTTTTTCCCCATTGCTTCAGACTTGCTCTCAGGAAATTAAAGGCAACTATTTTTTTCTCTTTGCCAAATATTTCCCCCCCCCTAAGAGTGTGAATTGCAGAGATTTTTGGTAAATTAAACAAAAAAATCCTTATTTGTAAGATTTCAAAGGCTCCGCTACCAGCAAGGTCCCATTTACTGTAAAGGGAACAAAGATGGGGGTAAAGAACAGGATGGAACTGCCAACTCTTTAATTGTACTTCACTTGCTGTAGCAGAGAGGTCAGCAAAGCTCCAAATTCTCTCTTAGTAAGGAATTAAACAGCACTTGACAAATGAGGCTGGAACTCTCAAATGTAGCTAAAAACACAGCATTGGTTAAACTTTTGTCATCGGCACTACGCCCATTTCCTCCTTTGGTATCTGACAAACCTTTTAACATGCCCTTGAAGCTAACACAGCATTTTCCGTTTACTTCTCGCATTTCACACAACAGCATCTTTTTTGGCAGCACAGCTCTGGGTAAAGGAGTTCTGTTAAGTTGCAATTGCCAGGAGAACACAAAATTGTAAAACCATATTTTCGTCCTCACCAACACAGCTGGTGTTTTAACCTGATAATCTGGAGGGGCACTGCTGCAGCAAAATGTAGCTATTTTAAGGGCAGGTACAATTTTAGGTCTAAATACCTTAATGATCTTCACTGAAAAAGTGAGATGACTAATACTAGAATCAGAGCTTAGCGCCTTGTACATACTTGTAAAACTGCAGCAATAAGTGAGGCTATATCCTGCTCCTCACAAAGTCCTGTCTCATAAGATAAACTGTGCTGCTGATGGCTTTCACTCCCATCATGCTTTTACTCTGTCCACTGGCCTGATTGGGACACAATAGTGAAGGTGGCGGCACGAGCCCTGTCTTCACAAGTCTTTCATCTGAGTTTAACCACCATGGTCAAACTCCCTACAGAACTAGGCTTACCCATGGTTTTCTAGAAAGAGGCTCACATGGCTTCTGGACTCAGTTTGTTTAGAATTTGCGGATGAGCAGAGATGCTGGGAAAAGAGCAATGGAAGGCAACAATCTAGATTTCAACCTAAAAACGACAGACTCTGCTTTTCACATTAAAAGCGGAATGGACAGTCAATAGTGAGAGACACACACCTTCACCACCTTCAATCAACTAGGCTGGTTTCCTTTGACTCCACTTAGACATCTTGAGGGTTTTGTATTTGGCTCCTACTGAAGATAGTCAGCAAAGGGTTACCGGTGACAGGCACTGAACTGTCATTGTCCAAATGAAAGAGGGTCTGTCTTTAATATAGACTGTAGAAGCTCATTTTGTTCAGCTACTTTGCATCCAGAAGTCCTGGACTCAGCTCCAGTCATGCAATATACGATTTTTCAGAATCGCTGGTTGAGAGAAAGGAAATAGCCAATCTAGATGCCAAGCTGTACCCAATTTGATTCTCAAATTTAACAAACAAGATTATAAGGTAGACCTACCAATTCCATTCCACCTGGTGCCATTTTAAAGACACTGTTGATCAAATACTCAGTAGGATAGAAGTATCCTTTTTATTCCAATGGAGAAGTTGCACATACCAGTCCATTCAAGACCAAAAGGCTGTTAAAATGTAAGAGCAACCAAAGCAACACACCTGTCACTTGAATTCTCCATGACCATTGATGCGTGTGACAACATATGCTGCTGAACAAAAAACCCACAACTGTTCTATCAAGTTGACCACGTTTCATAAAATCAGCATAACCCTAAATGACCCCCAGGATTTCTTAGTACAGTGCTGATTTTAGGATCCACATTTCAGAGTGGATGAGGCCCCCGCAAAATTACTGCTAGACTGGTTACAGCCAATACAGAGTTGACTACTGTAATATACCAGTGGGTATATGGATCAGAAAGCCTATACCACTGGAATTTGCATGCCGTAAATTCATGTCTCCTCTCCAGGCTTCCATGGCAAACTGGGTTAATTAAGCAACAGATTTAACGAAATCTGAAAAAGTGATAATGTATGTTTTTTTTAAAAAGGATTAAAGTTACACTACATCATTTGCTGACTTGTTCCACCATCGATTGCTCCGTACGTTTTACAGCATAAATAAAAACTGGAGAAAAAATAAATACATTGGCTCCTATGAAGTCAGAAGTGGTTTGGGCTGCATAGTGGGGGGGGGGGGGAAGGGGCATGGAAATTTACACATTTTGAGACAAAACAGGAAGCGCCTGCAAAATAGTGTAGGAGAGAGCAAGAGTTTAAGTGTCCTCATTCATGTCCTGGCTGTCTGTCCGAGCAATTTTCCGTGGTGGTGCCGAATTCTCACCTTCTATTTCCACTTGCTCTTGATCTCTCTTCTTTGCTGCATTCTGATTGAAGCAAAGAGAAAGGTACATCAATGAAGTCCTCCACAACATTCCTCTCCAGAGACGGCTACATTTCCGTACTGAATGATACGTCTTGCATAAGTAGTTGGTAAAGGTCTTTGGGAGGGAAGATGCTGATGTAGATGAACTAGCAGAGGCATCTTCTCGTGAACACCAGAGTTCTGTCCAAAGCTGGACTATATTATATACTGAATTGTCCCTGTAAAATGCTCTCCTGCCCCAGCAGGGCTGCTAAAGGACAATCCTTTGTTCTTAGCTTCTTTTTATTCCAAGGATCTCAAGTGCTTTATAAACTTTAATAAGACCCTCTTTTTCTCCTGTTGCTCTGATTCAGTCTCTGAACTTCTCAAACCTCCCAACTGGCTTCCATCATCACTCTGAAGCACCTCATTATCAGCTTCAGACTCCTGACAACTCTGCTCCCATCTATGTTTCTCCTTTCAACTCCTCCTCCATCTCTATGCTTGGCCCAAACTTCTCTCAGTTGCTCCCTGTCTCTCCTTCACCCACTCCCAGCCTCCGACCTGCTTTCTTGCTGCTCTGTGCCTCTGGAACAGCCTTCGTGTACTCCTCCCAAACACACACATTCTGAAGTTACATCTGCTCTGGGAAGCTTTGTGGCTATGACCATTCCTCACTGTGCGTGTCTTGTATTGTACCCACTTGTGCCTGTAGAGCACAAACTCGGAGGCAGGGTGTGTGCTAGGAACTTTTTATAGCACATGTATACCTGGCATGTACTATTAATGTGACCCTGTGAGGTAAGCAAGATATATGATTTTACAGGTCAGTATGTGGAAATGATTCACTGGGTGCCTTTGAATGTGTCAACAGCAGAGCCAGAAAAAGAACCCAGGAGTCGTGGCTCCCACTCTCCTATACTATCAGTTTAATAAAAGACTATGGTCTCAAATGGGGAACTGAGGCACAAAGAGGCTAAGTGACTTGCCCAAGGTCATGCAGAAAGTCTGTGGCAAAATCAAACTGAGACCTCCCAATTCTAAGCTATTGCCTTAGTCATTGGACCATCTTTCCTCTTTGAGTTACATGAAGAGTGAGAACAAAGTCTACCACGGATAGAAAATTTACCACAAGCACCTTCTGGTAGAATTGAGAAACCCAGGGTTGGCTCAGTCTTGCACTTGATTTAGTATCTATGTATTTTTCCCCATCACTAATTACAGGCATTGGTGGTCTCACAGTAGAAGCAACCAAAACAAATTGCACTTTAAAACCAGATATGACTATTTTTAAATATAAAACTTCATACCTTTTTGTCCCATTGCTGATGTAGATAACGCAAAAGTATGTTTGTCTTTTCTGTTACTATGACTGTTGAAGAAAGAAAAAACTCTCTGAAGGCATTTCTAAGAGATAACATTTAAAACAAACTACAGTGACCAAGACTTCATACAGGTAGTGAACCTTTTAAAAAGGAGTGACAGCATTACTGTCGTTTTAATTGTCCTTACAATCATTCAATAAGGATAGAGAAAAAGATGTGCAAAAGCGGACACAAAAGTTAAGCATCTGTACTCTTTCGAGCCACTTAAATCTGACACAGCTTTAAAAACACAATTCTGTTTTGTGCTATCAAATGAGATTGAGCACATGCCAAACGTTTAATATTAAACACAAAATAAAAGTTCTAGTACACTTGAAGCTTCAAACAGAAGGAGCATACTTACTTTGTTCAGATGGATATTCCCTTGTGGGAAGATATACTGACGGTCTTCTGTTCTGTAGAAGTATTAGAATGGTTACAGTGCAGAGGAAAACATAAAAAAACCACCAAATTTCCACATACAACTAAGGCTGCTGAACTATCTCAGTCCTGACAGCAAGTTCATCTCAACTGCAATGCTATAAAATTGTGACAATGCAGCATACCACAGTCTCACTGTACCATGCAGCTGCAAATTCTTTCACATGTAAAAAGAGGTCCATTTATCATATATGCGCCCCAGTCCCAATGTTAAACTAAGAGCGTAAAAACATGGGGCGGGAATGCCACACAGCTTTGGCTCTGCTGATATTGCATTTTTCTGAAGTACATTAACTGGGAAATCTGGGAAATCTCCTCTCCTGGTATTCCAATCTCAGATAAGCAGTCGTAGCTCATGATGATACCAGTAATAACTTATTTTAAGAGACCCAAGGCCCAGTTAGAGGCCATACGAAGCACCAGTGTCCTCTGCAACTCTGCAAGACTTCATTGCAAACAGATCATCTCCTGAGAGATTGAATTTAGATATAATACTCACGGATGCTTTACATACAGAGTCTGCATGAAATCTACTGAAGTTGCTTTTGTTGTAAACTGGTAATCCTTTCAAAAAATCTGCCTAAAATGACAGAAGACAGCTTTGGTTAAACAGTGAAGCAAGTAAAGAATAAAAATAGTAGATGAGCAAAAAGATCAAGGGAGTTGCACATGTCAATAATGCCTTTCTTTTTTTTTTTTTTAAACCATTTAGAAGTATGTTGACAGCTACGAGGTCAAATACCAAATATTCAGAATGAACATTGGTTTTCTTAAGACAGATCCTGCAGTCCTATGTGTACGTCTCATCTCTATTTCCCCAACTTAAGTGACTTATGAATCTCCAGTGAAAGGCTCTGTTGTAGCTACATCCATTTTGATGGCGAGGGCTTTTTTAAAAAAACAACAACAAAACTAGTTAAATGTAGATGTGCAGTAAGGTCTCATTTTTAAGACTAAGATGGTAAACTGGGGAAATCACTTCTTAAGAAGCATAATGACTGATTTAAAAGGGGGCAATTGTCAAGTTAATCATTTAAAGAAAATTAGCGCTTTTAGATAGGTTAGATTAAAACAAAACTTGATCTATTTACATTTTTGCTATTTATGTTGCATACTCTTTTGAACCTCAGCTTGAACAATGAAAATAGATCAGACATTTTTACTTTTACATACAAGCAGCTTTGATTTCTTGGCTCATATGCACTAGTACAATGCTGTTACGTTTGAGTTGCAAAGTTTAATTAAATTAAAAAAAAAATCACAAGCATTTATTTTGGTTTCACTTTGCTAAAGTTCTGGGTCAATTCTGACTTGACTGTATCTTTGAGTTTTACTTAGAGACAGACCTGTAACTGCACAATGAAATACTGAATCACTGTGTACTCAGTAAAGCAAAGGGATTAAGTAGGAAAGAATTAATTTGCCCAACCTGTAGCAAGCAGCCATCTATCTAAAAGATCTCAACAGCCAAAACGCATCCTTAATGCCAACACTCTGGATTTGTTAAGGCCTGAAAAGTGGGGGAACCTGACAGCGGACCTATTAACCTTCCACCTAATACATCATAGTCGTTCTACAAAGGGTGTTTACTCATTAAAATGAGCTGAGTTCTCAAACAAGGTAGCTACACTGAAGCAACCCCCTAGAATATATGAATATATGTAAACCTGTCCGATGGAACTTACCAGTGCAACTCGCTACACACCATCTGCACACTAGGTGCCTACTCCAGTATAGCTACACCAGCAGATAAAATCCTCAGCACAGAGGAGGCCTAGGATGCAGTGTCAAACTGACAGCTGTTACTAGAGCTGCATAAACACAAAGGAGCCAGTCTCAGGAAGGCAAAAGAACTACACAGCCTCAATGGCCTAATCCTGCAGCCCTTGCACAGAGGTAACTCCTGGTGGGGTCAATGGTAATTGTGTGCAGGATCCGGCCCACAATCCGTGGTGACTTCCATGCAAAGAATCCCAAGTTCTTGAGGAGGTCTGGTTCAGTCTTCATAGCAGAGTAACACACTTGACCAACAGCAGCATTGCCTCACGGGAAGCATTCCAGCATAACAGCAGCAGTGGCCCTGAAGAGGCCCTTTACCCCCAGTTAACCAAGCTAAACCCATATGGATGGAGGGGTGTTTGTCTTAAAAGCAATAAAAGGGGCATTATGGTAATCAACTCAACAGTATACCAGATCCAGAACCACTCTGAAGCCTCTTCAGTCACAACATATCTAGCGCAAAGAAAGACTCCTGACAACAGCTGCATCTTTTAAGTAGCAGGAAGCAAGGGGACAGATATGACAAGAAGCCATTAAGTATGCTCTTTGGGGAAGGAATTGTCTTTTTTTGTGTTTGTACAGTGCTTATTACCATGGGGTCCTGATTTATGAATTGTGGGTCCTTAAAATAAGTAAGGAAGATGAGTGTATGAAAGGCCATGAAGGAAAATAACTAGCCTAAACCCCTATCTCTAAAAGCAGATTTAATATCTGCACTGGAGTCAAGCCTAGAGGCCCCAGTCAAGGATTATGGCCCCATTATGCTAGGCATAACACATGCACGTAACAAAGAGACAGATCCTGCCCCAGAACTTACAATATAAGCTTAATATATTATATTGTTTAGAAGCAACTCTAAAGATTAGCAAAGAAGCAGATAATTCTAATGAGCCGAGTTATTCAACCCATGTCACGTGCAACAAGGAGAAGATAGAGTCCTCCTGCAATGCTGCTGTTGTGGAAGGAGCTAAAAATCTCTTAACGGGAACAATTACTTTTCTGTTTGTAACTGTCATAGCTTATTCAAAGCAATGGGCTCCAGTCAGGAAGTCTCCGAAGCACTATTTATACTTTGATCTTGTTTTAAGAAAAGTTAATTACATTAAGGTTTCCAAATGTATCCCCTCCCAAGCTTGGTTTTAGGAGAAAAATAGTCCTGTGATTACAGCACTGGACTGAGGCCTTGGCTATACTCAGGACTTCACAGCGCTGCCGCGGCTGTGAAGTGCGAGTGTAGTCGCGCCGCCAGCGCTGCGAGAGAGCTCTCGCAGCGCTGTATGTACTCCACCTCTCGAGGGGAGTAGCTTGCAGCGCTGCGAGCGAGCGTGCAGCGCTCCAGGCACTGATTAGACTGGCACTTTACAGCGCTGTACTCGCTGCGCTCAGCAGGGTGTTTTTTCACACCCCTGAGCGCAGCAAGTTGCAGCGCTGTACAGCGCCAGTGTAGCCAAGACCTTAGACTCAACCAATTGGGTCTCAGTTTCCAGTTCTGCCACAGACTCTTTGTGCGACCATGAGCAAATAACTAACCTCTTTTGCCCATCTGTAAAATGGGGACAATACTACTTCCTTTCTCCCACCGTTTATCTGCCGTGTCTATCTAGCGCTTGCCAGCTCTTCAGGGCAGGTTCTTGTTTCTCTGTACAATGACTAGCACAATGAAAGCACGATGTAAATTGGTCTTTATTTCTATTCCAGTAGAGCCTAAACTTGTTTTCAGATTCTGCTGTGCGCGCCAACTGTTATGCCTCCTCTGATGGGCTGCTTTGTTTACCTTCTTTCATTTACCTCCCAAGGTTGGTTTTGATTACAGAACACTCAATCTGAAAGTTTCATGACTGCGAAAAGGATATAGATCCCCTTAGTATTATTACTCTTACTAACATCCAGGCATATTTCACTGACTTAGAATCCCATTTCACCCCGTTTAGAATTGAGAATTGAGTTCTTACATACTAGAGCTAGTGAGTATTTGATTGGAATTGATCAAAATTCCCAGGTATGTTTCTTACTCTGTTTATTTAGAGTGGAGAATTATGAACACATCCCACTCCAAACCATTTAATTTTGTTCAGCCTTTCACTGCACTTTGTTGCAAGAAACGGAATATTTGCACCATTACATTAGGCTAGGCCCAGGCAGAAAAGCCTTTGAGTCATTATATTACAGCGAACTCAGACTATTATTTGACACATAACAAAAAATAACCTGAAAGTGTAATTATTTATCAATAATATTTTACGCTACTTCAGGTATTTAATAAGCTACAGCTCAACCCCCGTTTCAAAATGTGAAACGGGCTCTAGCCCAATCCACCTATCTTTGATTGTCTCTCTCTACACCACACCTGAATAGGCTCATTGGATACATTCAGGCAGACACACATTTCAAGGGTTCTGCAAAAAGAAAAAAGTTGGGTCAAGCTGCAAATTTAGAAAACCATTTCTCCCAACAACTATACTGCTGGAGACCTGACCAAGAAGGAATCGATCAATAATTGCAACTAGTCACTGTAAAAAGAAAAAGTTTAAAGTTTGGGAGAGGAAAACTGTACTTTCTAATCATGTAGGACCCCAAGACATCAACACGTTTCTGTAGCACTCCTTGACTTTACACAAAATATATAGAACAGAACTAGTCATTTTATTCAGGAAATGGTGGCAGAAAACTGAAAAGCTGGTCTTGGCTCCTGATGAGTCCTAAAGTAAGGCTATCTACATAAAGAGTGAAACTACTTGGCCTGAAATGGGATTGTATCACATATAGCATATGTTCCTAACATTCATACTTTCCCCTTCATCCACTAAAAAGCAATGTTGCTTCCCCACTGAGAATCATTATAAGTACTTAAAGATGGGGGCTAAATATTTCTCCAAGATGCGAAATAAACTCCTTAGCACTGCTTTGGACAGGTTGCAAGACAGCTTAAAGCAACATTAGTTTTCAATTATTCTGCCATGCCCCCATTATACATTTTGACCTACTAATGTACAAATGCCATTTAAACAGTGAATCAATTATTGTAAAGAACAGAGTTGGAATCCATTTTGACAGAGGGCAATAAAAACTGATCAAACATCCAAAAGAAGCAGTTCTTCCCTCCCCTCACCCCCAGAATAAGAAGGGGTGGCAGGCACCCTAGTTAATTACTTTCATGGTAGTGTGTTTCTAGGTGCCTACTAGATTACGTACAGCTGTCCCCACATTTAAGTATCTTGGCTTATGAGAGTCCAAATATAGGATGAAGCCTCAAAATGACAGCCATTAAAATAATGGTATGAAAATTATGCAGGATCTTCTTTAAAGGAATAATTTCTGCAGATTGTGTTTCATTGTTCAGCTTCTCCAATTAAAAATGACAAATGCAAGACGGACACCAGACTTGTGCAGGCCAAAGAATTACACACCTGCCAACAGGAATCTAGCTAGTCATTTAACACTACATGCAGCACCAAGATACTTGTTCCCATTAGACTGGAGCTAAGGTGAGAGCTGGAGTTTCCCTGGTTACTAGCCACCACCCTATTTTTTCCCAGGGCAGAAGTTATTTGAATGATTCAACTCCAACACCACTGGAAGCGTTTACTGGGCAACCTCCATAACGGAGATATTAGCAGGAAAACAAAAGTGATTCTAAAAAAACTGCCGACACATTCAAAGGGGGGCACTTCTCTACTTCAGCTTTCTGCCTTTTTCTTTTCCTTAGGGCAAAGAGGGAAAACGCCCCGGTCAAACCAAGAGAGCTAAGGAATGTCCTGAGGAGTCAAGAAATGAAACAGATCCTCAAATTTGAGGCGTTTCCCCATTTATTTTGGGGGAAGGTGCCACAGCAGTAACCCCAGATGCATCTGTGACTACGCTGCTGCCTGGAGATTCTCTCTCTAGTTTCCCACTGCTATTGCTTTGAGGAGGGAGGCAGAGACAAGGCTGCATCTGCCTCTCCCATGTCAGCAAGACCCCACCCCCAAGCAGTTTCCTGAGAATGTGACAAAAAAATCCCATTACGGCTGGAGCCCACAGCTCTAAGCAGAGAGATGGAGAGGCCATATCTGCCCCAGTCCCTCCATCCCAAGGAGGGAACGCAGCAATCCCGCTCAGACACATCAGGCCCCTGGGGATGGAGACGCTGAAGATGAAGCCGGGGGCGGAGAGAACCGCAGATGCAGGAGCCCCACCCCCGAGCGCAGCTACCTCAGGCTTTCGGCCTGAAGGGGGGGGGGGGGGGGGAATCACAGCCCCCTTCCCTGCTAACCAGGCCCAGGAAGGAAGCACTGAAGCCCTTTCCCTAGGAAGGGCCATATGGCTGCAAGGGAAGGCGACCAGGGGAAGCCTACGGCGGCTGCAGCCCCTCCCCCAGTCACGCCCCGCACCCCAAAAATCCCCCCTCCCCCCTGAATAAGCAGGCCCAGAAACTGCTGTTTGGGGGAGCTGGGAGGGGACGGACAGGGGTGGCCCCTGGGCGCCGTGGCTGCCCCAGCCCCCCCCATCACCAAGGCCCCCCCCAAACAAGGCGCAGAAGGTGCTGGCCCTGGGGGGCGTTGCAGGGGGGCGAAGGCTCTGCCCTGAGAGGGGAGGCCCGTGGCTGCTGGGGGGCTTCCCAGGGCGGCGGCAGCTGTCTCCCCTCACACCCCCTCCCCTCAGGGGACCCCAGGGCGCCTGCCCCACAGCCCAGCCGGCGGGCGGGGGGGGGGGGGTGTCCGTGGCGGCCCCACCCCAGGGGAGCCTCGCCCCACTCAGGCCGGGGGCGGGGCCCTCTCCCTGGAGGTCCCCATGGCTACCGAGGCTGCAGACCCAGCACCCCGCCTCCCCCACCCGCCATTTTGTATCGGGGGCGGGGGGGGGCACAAGCCACCTACCATCTTCCCCGCCGCTGCCTCAGCCGCACGGCAACTTCTAAAAGCCCACTCCTCAGCCTAACTTGCCTCCTTGCCCGGACCGCCCCTCCGCCCGGACACGCACGCTCCCATTGGGTGGTTCTGCCCAAGACTGCAGGCCTATTGGCCACCGGACCTGTCCCTCAAAGCTGCCAAGAAAATAGCCATTTAGGTTGAGGCAGGAAATGCCCGCCCTGGCCCCTAAGGCTCGCGGGAGGAAGAGGAAAGTACCCGGATGTGGGGCCGGCCGCGCTGCTTCATGGGAACTGTAGTCCCAGTAACGAACACCTGGCTTCCCACTTCCCATGAAGGAGGCCATTGACTGCTGCCAGGGTCAATAATAATTTATGGTTCGTTCTTAACAAACAAGTATTTAATAATAATAAGTAAGATATATGCAAAAACACATGATAATGATTAATAAGCATCAGTATTCAAATTATAATTAGTCAATTATATGTTACTAATGATAATGAATTAACTATCAGTAATGGCTTATAACCACCACCATTTGATCAAACTTAGCCATAGATTCCAAATAGTAAACATTAATAACCAATATTTCATAATCAAAATCACTCAAATTAAGTCATTGATTATCAAGCACTCATAATTAAGAACTCATTCATTAATAAAGCACTGATCTTGCAAGTTGCTGTGCCTGGGCAAACCCCTCTATCCACAGTTCAGTGCTACTTGATCGGATTGTCAGATCTGACCGTAAATCAAGACTGTAAAAGTCAATAACCAATATTAAATCAATAATCAAAAATAAGCTTTTTCTCAGGTGTTCTCTACTTGCTGTAGCAATTACAGCTGACAGGATCATCTGGTCAATCTCCAGTGCTAAATTCCTGGTGGCCTGGTGTACATTTGTTGCCACTAACAATGCCATTGAGGGAAGTGATTCACCATCACTACCTTCCATGTGGGACAAGGGGAAATCTTCATACCCATTCCACAGGAACTGGTGCCATTAGCTGGGGGAATGACCCATATTTTACAAATGAGGAAGCATTCTGCAAAGGGGCTAACACTGAAAAACACCAACGCAAACAGCATTTTCAGGTTAATTTTGAAAATGAGGAGCAATGAACTGAGACAAAGACCTCCTGAGAACCTGTCCCATATCCTAGGAGTTGTCACAGCAAAGGTCAATTTAAGATATCATAGCTAAACTCCTAAAAAGCAGCTTGACATCGGATGAAAAACAAAATATGAAGAACAGATGCTGCTACCCCATTCATACAAAACTTTGGATAAGGGCTAAATGGGACATTAGGCAGAACACTGGGGAAAGTTCCTAAGGATGAGTATTTGATTAGGCTGTGAGAAATTACTCCTGAAAGAAAGAGCGGAAGCTCCCTAAACAGAGGCATTTAAAACTAGGACTCGCCAAACCCCAGGCAAATAGACTGTGGGAAACAATCCTGCATTGGCCACCGATCTGATAGTGTTAGTATCTTCCACCTCTAATTTCTCCACATTCCATGCAAAAGATCCATTAAAAACATAAGGACAGAAGATATGTTATAAAAACAGAGTTGCCTCTTACTAATGCCTTTTTCCATCCTTTCTCTGGCTGAGTTGGCAGGTGTTTTGCTGGACTTTTCAACTGGACTTTGCTTTCTGCATATATTACATGGGTTATAAACACAGTTGGAATGATGCTCTGTAGGAGTCCCTTCATTTCAAGGAAGCGCACCAGGGCCTTTTAAGCGCAACCACTGTCCTGAGATCAAGGAGCTGCTGAGTTCTAATTCTGATTCCACCTGTGGTCTTAGACAAGGGATTTTTCAGCAGTGCTGCAGACCTGAATCTCCCATTAAATGGAAGCTGTGGTGCTCAGCCCTTTCTTAAATTCAGCCTGTGCCTTAGTTTCCTCTTCTGACAAATAGGGAGAATATCTCTCTGCCACTGGGGGTTGCGAGGCTTAATTAGCACAGTACTTTGAGATCCTTGCACAAAAAAATTAGTCTTGGGCCCTAGCAAGTATTTTTGCACATCACAAGACTCTGAAAAATCATGTACAGCTGGCAGTCTTTGCTTAAGAGTCCCAAGCCTGAAATGGAAAAAAGTACTGTAACCCATTCCCAATCATCCGATTCATCCAGCTTCCTTCAGCCTCAGTTTCTCTTTCATTATTAAAGTATGCTTGAAATGCAATAAACAGAGGCGGTGTTATCGGGGGAAAAGGAAAGCAACATAATCCTTCTATTTATAAGTTGTACCCTTCCTACATGCCTCTGGAGAGGAGCACAACCTTTAATAAAAAGATATGTTGTGCTCCTTGAACAGGTACCAAATAAGCAAGGTCCCTCCCCATAAACAAACTCGCTCGCCCCAGCCAGCCATCTCAGTAGCTACAGAATTTATACGGTACCAACCATTGTACTAGCTAGTGATCCTCTCAGGGATCATGCCAAACTGATTGTGTTTATCATAGGCAGAGGGGCTGTCAGATGTTTGGTGTGTTGAATTATTAGTTCTGCTCTTAGATTCCCCTACAGCTGACTCTAGAGCACAACTGACCACCTTCCTCCTACTGGATCCCATTTTTCAAATTGAGGGCTCTGGAAATGACCATGACTGGTGCTCATGGGGACTTCTACATATGATTCCTCCAGTGCTAGGGAGTCAGGGTAAGGAAGTTATATTGTTGAACTTCTTCTGGAAGGAGATGACATGTGTGAGAGCTGTGTCAGACAGGCCCCAACTCCTTGCCCCACATGCTGTCCCAAAGAGGTTCAGGCTCCTCTCCACTTTAAAGTATCAAGGCCAACATTTTTAACGGTCATCTTGAAAGGTTTATAAAATCAGCTCAAGACATCTCAAGCTCAGTCCCTGAAGAGTAAGGAACCTATAATGGACACTTTGTGGCTCCAGGCCTTCCTGTATTGATTGTTAATCTGACTACATTCACTTTGTGGTAGAAAATCTCAACCTCTGGAATTTCCTGAATATCATGAACCTGAATCTCACCTTTACTGCTGCATTAGTGGTAGTTTTTGCATCTAATTTCCCCTCAAGTAAGCCACGCATACTTGTCACGCTGCATTAAACTTGGAGAGGGAAACTGAAACTTGTCAGCTTTACAGTCTGTCTTCTGCTTGCATTTGCAACACCTTAGAGGAATGTTTAAATAATTAAAACAATTTTAAAAACTAAGATACCATGGGGACATTTCTATTCAATGTCATTTTTTTTTTAAATTGAACAAACCCTGCATTTTGATCCATGTATTTAGAGAATCCTGAAAATAGACTGTAGATTCTGTTCTTAAAAGCTCTCACAGCCTCTCACACTCAGTGTGAAATTCACCCCAGTACAGAAGGTCTTTGCAAAGCCTATGCTCCCAGGAGTGTTAAACTGAGGGACTAAGTGGAACACTTAGGCAATGCAGAGGGGCCCTGCATGGGCTCTTGGGCACAGATGTGAATTTCACCCCCACACAGCAGCAAACTAAGCCAAAGTGTGCTAAGTGAGGTGTTGGGGCGCTCTTCAGGTGCCATTAAGAAGCTGGGCATTGGAATCTTTACCCAATGACAAAAGGAATTCTTGCTAACAGAGCAACAGGAAAACAAAACCAACATGCACTGCTGCTATAGTTTATAACAGGACTGCAGCTCCACCATTAGGTTCAGATCCTGCAATTAAGTCTACGCAAGTAGATTCTGTGGCTGCCTGGAGCCCCACTTTCTGCAATGGGACACTTCATGGGCACATATTCCTTTGCAAGATTTGGCCCTAAACTGACAGAAAAAAGAACCCTACCCCATGCTTGCTTTAGGCTCCAGTCATGCAAGGTGCTCATTTTCTTCAAATAGCTCTGAGGGCACTCAGCACATTGCATGATAGAGTCCTTGGTGAGTAACACAGGGAGAGGGGAGTGGAGTCAACAGCATACTGTTCGCTGGGTACGTTGGGGAATAGTCACAGACCTTGCTTTGTGGTTAACGCCAATTGCACATCCACAGATTGAAAACTCATCCCTTAAGGCTTCTAGAGAAAGAAGAAAGTGTGCCTGCTACTCCCACAAGAAAAAAAAAAGAGAAGTAAAACAGTTTTTCTTCCCCTATAGCTTTGCATTAACAAACTTAATGCAGGAAGCTTGATATGATTTTTTATTATTTTGTAATTATGCCTCATGGATGCACAATTTTTACCTTAGAACTACTCCCACCAGTTGTAATAATTTTGCCATTAAAAATAATTAGCCATCAAGTGAAGCCAGTGGAAAAGAAAACCAGCATCCCACATCTGTCAAAGTAGCACTCAATAATTCTTCACCACATGTTATAACATGATGGGAATAATCAGTCGCTCATGGGTGTTACATAGAGAAGTCTATGTCACTGCAAACTCTCAGGCTGGTTCACTCTAAAGGTCTGAGTTGCGGATGATTATTCAGGCTTGACTGAAACATTTCATGCTCAACAGATCCTGCAGCTACAACACTCAGTGGCTCAGCGATTTCCTGCCTTTCAGCATGCGTCGGAGGATCACCTCGATCCCGCTGGGAGTTCTAATACGCTTGATCCAGCCATGGGTCCGCTTGCGCTTGAGGTTCTTTGGTTGATATTCATTCCCGCGTGCCTTGGTGCGTATTTGTTGAAGGCTCCATGGTGACAGGTGTCTAGGGATGCTTTGGAAGATGCCTGCAGATCTGAAGGACAGGCTGGTGCTTGGAGGCTGCCCCAAAGCATCTGAGAGGATGGAAATTGTCCTGGGCTGCGAGGGGGAGGCTGCAACGCGCTGCAGCAGGAAGAATCTTGGTAGAGTGAAAAAACAATAGAAAGAGGTTAACAGGAAGTAAGACAATGACCTAGAGTTTGGAATCTAAGCACCATGTGTAAAACACAGTGGGGGGGGGGGTTGAGACTTCATTCTAATAATGCAATTTTGGAGGTATAACTGGTTAAATAAGGGCCTCTGATAATTCATTCGAGCCAAACATAGTGAAGAGAGATGCTGGCCCTGCTTCGGCAACACAGTTTTGCCAACGGTACCACACGCCCCTGCCCCCCACTGTGGTCATCCAGCTCTCTCTTGGCTCTGCCAATGCAGTGACACACAGCACCCCTCTGATCAGATAGATAGTCATCACTGCTTCTGATCTCCCATCCTCCCCATCTGCAGCCAGGTCCCCCACCCCACCCCTTCCTCCCAGCCACACTTACCCCCTCTCTCCTGCCCTCAGCTTCCACTCACCCCATTTCCAGTCCCCCTTCTTCTGCCCTGACCTCCCCCTCACTTCCTGTCCCCCCTCCTGAGTCCCCCTTTTTCTGCCCTGTCCCCCTCACCTCCTGTCCCTCACCCCATTTCCAGTCCCCCTTCTTCTGCCCTGACCTCCCTTGCCCCATTTCCAGTCCCCCTTCTTCTGCCCTGACCTCCCCCTCACCTCCTGTCCCCCCTCCTGAGTCCCCCTCACCCCATTTCCAGTCCCTGTTCTCCTGCCCCCCCTCCCAGCCTGTCCTGCCCCTCACCCCATTTCCAGTCCCCCCTTTTAAGGTCCCGGCCTGGCCTCCCCCTCTCCTGCCCCTCCCCCACTCAGCCCCCCTGGGGAAGAGGGGGGGGGGGTCTCCGGCAGCCGCGCGTTACCTGCCCCCGGGAGGCAGAGGCCAGAGGCGGCCCAGGCGGCCTGTGAAGAAAGCCATCGTCCCCCCAAACAACGCCCGGGCCTATTGGCTCCCGCCGCCGGGCCTATCACAACCCGCGGCCACGCGGGGCTGGGGCGCCGCAAGGGCTTCTGGGACATATAGTTCTCCGGGTCACGCCGAGGCCGCAAGGGCTTCTGGGGTCTGTAGTTCTCTGTGCCAAGCCGAGGCGCTCCGTGGGGTGCGCTGAGCCCCAGGCCCTGGCCGGCTGGCCCGGTGTTCCCGCCTTGCCCTGTTTCCTCAGCCCCCCCTCCCCCCCCACGGGCCGGGGGTCGCCATGGAAACGGGCCCCGCCCCCTGCCCTGAAGGAGGGTGGCCTGTGGGTTAAAGCCTGGGAGCCCGGACTCCTGGGTTCTGTCCCAGCTATGG